TTCAATATTGAATACAGATGTCGTAAATGTAAACAATATTATGCTGAATGTGCATACATATGATTATTTGAAACTTAAAAACAGATTAAAATTGAATCAGCTTGAAAAACATAAAATTCCCACGCTGGGTCGCGATTGAGAAACGCTGCTCTGAATGATTCAAAAAGAATAAACAAATATTCTCAAATTAGTGTCCTTAGATTAGTGATTAGAGCATTTTTACAGTGTTTAATTGAGAGCTTATTGTGTGGCAAATACAATCATACTCTATGTCCAGGGATGTCCAGCATGGTCTTGCTTTGTAGCTCCGTATTTACCGACTGAGCTAAGGAAGGCCTCTTAAAGATTCAAACAGATCCAAACAAAATTTGAAAATTAAAAATTGAAAATTGAAAATTGAAAATTGAAAATTGAAAATTGAAAATTGAAAATTGAAAATTGAAAATTGAAAATTGAAAATTGAAAATTGAAAATTGAAAATTGAAAATGATTTAAAGATTTAAGGTTCAATTTACTTTGATACATTTTTTGAAAATTTAAAAGCAGTTTTTTTCGACGTATTATTTTAGATTGCAAAAAGCTCGCGTCATTTTGGGTAAAATATCAAAAGGAATCGAATAGTCCGAGCTTTTTGCAATCTGAAATAATGCGTCGGAAAAAAACTGCTTTTGAAATTTTCCAAAAAGCATCAAAGTAAATTGAACCTTAAAGATTCACAAACTTGCAGTGACTTATCACAGTGAAAATCGAATATATGCGCATCGCCAACCCGAATCCTCCTACTTTGAACACACACACTACCTACTGTCTCTTTATAATCATTGTAGTGAATCTCTAACCACTGCGAACCAATCTGCCATCACCCGGACAGCCACCATCATTTATTAACAGTGTTCCTGCCACTGCTGACTCGCATCACGGCGGGAAAGCTCGGCCCCATTCGATGTTTTTGATAATCGCGGGGTGCTTCATATTTAATTTACCGAACCCCCTCCCACCTCCCGCTCACGCTCTTTGACTCCCATTTGCCCCCCTTCCAACATGCGTATTCAAGCGAACCCGCTCTAATTATAGTTTTCTCATTAATTATTCCCACTAATGCCATACGCCCTTTCCAAAAGCTCCCAACACAAATGCACCCCGGACAGAACCACCCGTTTTATGAATTAGATCGCGAGAATCGGAGCAGGAGAGTAGTGAGTGCTATGGACGGTTCCGCGCATTCATCCAATGTTTTAGTTTTAATGAGATATTTAGATAATCGACAACAGCAAAAAAGCAGGACTACGTATCCCGTCGAATGCAGCCCCACTCGCGCGCTTCGGATAAATAGTTAAACAACTGAATAAATAAACAAGCGATATTGAAAAATTATTCCCCGACTTTCGGCCTCGGTTCCCGGTTCATGAAAAAGTTGAGCTATTTCCGTTTGTCTCTGGCGGGTGGGAAGCCGAGGCGAGAGAGAGAGAGAAAGAGAAGAGAGAAGCGGGAACTAGAATTTGCCTCTATCGTCTAAAATTAAACATGAGAGAGAGAGAAGGGAAAAAAAGTTGTCGGAAGTGGAAGGCAAGCTGCAGTTTGTTTATCCCGAAAATAAATTGCATTTTATATTTTCGAGCATCTGTTTTTGTTTATCTTTCTCTGGTAGTTCAGGGTAGAGAAAATTGAGCCTGACGAGGAGGACGAAGGGAAAACGACAACAACAAAAAAAAAAACGGAGAAACAAATATGAAAAACTGGCAGTTCCATACATAATTGAATGGGTCGCAAGCAGGAGGGAGCAACGACGACATCGACGACGGCGACTGACAGCCTTTTCAGTGTTTCATAAAATATGCAACTTCAAACATCATCGCCATCGGTTCGGGCACAGCATCATCATCATCATCGTCATTATCGTCAAGGGAAGGGCTCCGGATGGATGAAAGGGTTTGCTTTGAATATTGCAAAAATGTGACCCTCCTTTTCGTTTCGGGGTTACGATTTCAATTAGCGAACGTGAAATGCTCGTCTGCTTTTACTTGGAGATAAGAGATGGCTGAAATCTGTAAGTCTTCGGTAATGCATTAAAACATTATTGTTATGAAATCGTTTTCCTTTAAGGCTAATATTAAGATACGCTAAATAAAGTGCATACAAATCATTTGTTTTTAATGCCATCGTTAAACACAATTAAGGATAACAGTTGAGGTAGGAAAGGAAGATTATAAGTGATCTTCGTCTTCTTCTTATTGCACCCGTATACTTCGGTCCACAGTGTTCAAGTGATTTCAAACCGTTGTTCAATATTTCAAATTTATCAAATTGAGAAGTTCAGTTAACTTCTTACGACTCAACAGCGATTCGTAGAAGTTTAGTGAACATAATTTGATTTCAGACTACTTCGTAGAAGTTCGGAGAATCCTGCGCTTGGTCAGATAGCGTATAGGGCGTCGTTGTGCCAATTTGGTCGTGGCACATTTCCAGTATGAAAGAGTGATTGCAGTTTGCTCAAAAGTGCCTGAGTAAAATGGAAGTGCTTTCGATGATTACCCGTAGTTGTTACAGTGAAGATATACACCCATATTATCGTTTATGTCTGGACGTGTTTGTCGTACAGAAACATTTTAAATTTGATTTTGGACGTGGACGGGCATATGGGTCAGAATATTAAGTTTACGTTAGGATAACGTTGAAAAATTGAGAAAAGTATCGCTTCAGTTTGAGAAGTAGTTCACTTCGCCGTGTGTTGGCAGGTTCCAATGCTGGACAGTTTGATGTTTATAAAGTACCATCAGTTAAAACTGTATTTTGAGCTTTATCTCTAGTTGTTATCGCTGGTTGAAGCGATTTGGACGGGGAGAGTGAGAATGCCAACTACCTGTCGATAACATTTCGTGGATAAAGGGCGGGCTCTTCTCCCCACTCATTGGGGCATCTTCCTGTTTGGAGGCTTGTCTTTTTGACCAATTGGCTGATCAAGCTGCTGGAAGGAGATTCTTTATTGTTCCGTAGATGCGTATAGGCGACTTTGCCTATCGAACTATCCAATCTGTTTTTGAGAACTCCGAGAACTTCGTCAAAATTCAGGGAACATCGCAGAACTTCAAGGATCATCATAGATCTTCTGTAAACTTCGTAGAAGTTCTGAGAACTGCGTAGAGGTTCTGAAACCTTTCTAGAAGTGCAGAAAATAGGTGATCAGCTACCTTTTGTAGAAGCTCTTCAGCAAATTTTGTAGAAGTTGAGAGAAATTTGTAGAACTTCAACTAAACGATGTAGGAAATTAGAAAACTTTAGAGAAACTTAGCTAAATTTATAGAAATCCATAGAACTTTGATGAAGTTCTGGGATTTGTACTGGACTGCATTGATCTTGAAATTCAGCTTTGTATAAATTCGGAAAACTTCATAGAAGTGAAATCTTCGTACATGTTTGGGGATCTCGATGAAGTTAAGTGCACTATGCTTAATTTCAGGAAACTTCATAAAACTTTACGGAACTTCATGAGATTTCAGACCACGTCGTGATAGATTAATGGATTTGGAATAGTTCAGGAAATAGAAGTTCAAGAAACTTTGTAGAACTTCAGTGAACTTCGCAGAAATCTAACGAAATTCTTAAAAAGCCTTGGAACTTTGTAGAAGTGCAACGAAATTAATAGCAGTTCAGGAAGTTTTTTAGAAGTTTAGCATATTACTTGATAGAAATTCAGGGAATTTCGTATAATTCAGGGAACTTCGTAGAAGTTCGGCAAAATTTGTAGAAGCTCAGAAAAATTCAGGAAATTTCAAAAAAGCTCAGCAAATATTGTAGAAGTTCAGCATAGTTACGATAAAGAAACCGGTGCGTGTGAGATCCCGGTTCGCCTAGACAATCTCGACGCTCTATGGACTAAGTTTAAGCAAGTCCAGTCCGAGCTTGAGACACTTGACGAGGCCCCTATCGATCAGCAGCTAAAGCAGCGAACCGATTTCGAGACAACATACTACCTTGTAAAGGGATTTCTACTGTCAAACAATAAAACGCCTTCCACATTCCGCCTGAATACTTCTTTGAGCTCGCAAATCCCTGGTTCTTCATCGTCGCATGTCCGCTTACCTGATGTGAAGTTGCCCGTCTTCAATGGAAACCTAGACAACTGGCTCATTTTCCATGACTTGTTCGTTTTGCTGGTTCACGCATCGCTCGAGTTGTCCAATATCCAGAAGTTTTATTATCTACGTTCTTCTTTGGCTGGAGACGCCCTGAAGCTGGTTCAAACCATTCCTATAAGTGTAAACAACTATCCTGTCGCCTGGAACTTGCTGGTAGACCATTTTCAAAATTCTTCTCGATTGAAGCAATCCTACCTTCACTCAGCAGCTCAAGAAATCTGCTCAACGTCCGGTTGCCAGTCATGGAGCCAGCCAATTTAACTCCGGTCGGAAATGTATCGTCTGCTCCGATCACCATCCGCTCTATTTGTGTTTGTCGTTCGCCAAACTCGACTTGGCGGCTAAGGAAAGAGAAGTTCGACGTCATCAACTCTACCGTAACTGCCTACGTCAGGGTCATCATGCTCCGGACTGTCAATCGGCTAGTTCTTGCCGTAAATGTCGAGGTCGCCACCACACCCAGCTCTGCTCTGAGGAGAATTCAGTCGCTGCGAACTCCAGGACTACGAATTCTTCTCAAACCAAAAAACCAACTACTTCTACGTCTGGTGAACAACCAATGGCATCCGTGTCAGCTACCCTCTATGAACCTTTGCTGCTTTTGCTGCTTTAATACCGAGTCTTTCTCGCAGTTTGTCAAGGCAAAGCGCTACAAAGTCTCTGTGCCGATTTTGGGGATAGGACAATCATCGACATATGCAAGGTACAAGATCGTCTCTACTGTTCGTTCGAGAGTTTGCGATTACTCCACCTCGGCTGAATTCCTGGTCCTGCCTAAGGTTACCATAGTTCTACCGACTGCTTCTTTCGACGCTAGCTCGTGGAAAATTTCTCCTGGTGTTCAATTAGCCGGGTCTTTCTACAATGCAAACCCCATCGACATTATCATCGGCGCTGAGGTGTGTGTTCTTCGATCTATCCAAGGTTTCTGGGAGTATTCAACTTGGTAATTCTCTTCCGACCAGGGTTAGCTCGATCCTCGGTTGGATAGTATCGGGAAAGGCTTCGTACGGTACTCCCACGACTCCAGTAATCGCTGAACTACACCAGTGGATGGAGAAATGCTGGGCCATCGAAGAAAACGACACTTCACCTTGTTCCTCCGTCGAAGAAGCAGCTTGTGAAGGACGCTTTGAACGAACGGTTAGGCGCAATTCCGAAGGAAGGTACATCGTTCGTTTGCCGATAAAGGATGACGTCATCAAGCAAATTGGTGACAACCGTCGCACTGCTGTTCACCTTTTTCGGATGCTGGAAGGTCGCCTCGGTCGCAACTCTGAACTTGCACAGCAATATCGGGACTTCATAGACGAGTACCTTGCTTTGGGTCACATGAAGCAAGTCTTTGACTATCAATCACCACCGTCTCCATGCTATCACATGCCTTACCACGCTGTGGTTCGAGAAGACAGTACTACAACAAAGCTACGAGTAGTCTTCGATGCATCGTGTAAGACTCCAGAAGGACCATCGTTCAACGATGCACTCATGGTAGGCCCAACCGTCCAGCAAGAGATCCGTTCAATCATCATGCGTTCCAGAATCCGTCGAGTGATGATCATCGCTGACGCCAAGCAGATGTATCGTCAAGTTTTAGTATACGAGCGTGACACTCCGCTTCTACGAATAGTCTGGACGCCATCACTGGACCAGCCATTGGGTACCTACGAGCTCCTAACAGTTACCTACGGTACTGCAAGCGCACCGTTTCTCGCTACTCGAGTTCTCCTGTAACTGGCAACTGTAACTGTAACTGGTGACTGTAACTGAGTTGACTCGAGTTAACTGTAACGACGAGAAGGACACAACAATCGGTGTATCCCTCAACTAATTTTCAACTTGACAGCTCAGCCCAACTAACGAAAGCCTTTCACTAAGTGGGCTACGGGTTTAGCCCAACGAGCGAAAGTTGACTGTGGCCGGTTTCGATTACTGGAGGTTGACAGACTTCGAGTTCGACGACGAAGACGAATCATTCGGGCAGTGCTGGGTAAGATGTCGGCCACGACACTTGCAGCAGTTGGTGGATGACCCTTTTGCAAGCAATTCCGGCAGAGTAGATGACGGTGGACTTGCTTCTCCTTCTCATTGATCGAATGCTTCGAAAAACACCCACATAGGTACAAAGGGTGATGGTCAGAGCAAATGACACACTTCCAAGCTTCTTGAGGTGGCTTCCTTTGTGCGGTTGACGGTTGAGCTTCGATGGTCTTCGCTTGGATGGATCGCAGCACCATGACTCGTCACTTGATGAATGAAGTAAGCTCGTTGAAGGTGATCGCTTCCTTGATCGAAGAGTACTCCTCCCAATCTCGCCTTGTCGTCGGATCATTTCGAATGCTGAGCATGCGGTTGAGCAAAATGTCAGCACCTTAACGTTTGCCTCAAATTTCTCTATCAGACTGTGGAGTTCCGCTGTCGATTCTCCTTCGAGTGAAGCGAAGTCAATGAGAGCGTCCACATACGACTGTTTCAGACGAGCAGGGTTCTGAAAGTGTTCCAGCAGAATATTCCAAGCCTCCGGGTAGCTGTTAGCGTAGATCGGGATTGTTTGAATCAGCTGCAGAGCTGCATTAGACAACGACGATCGAAGGGAGTAAAACTTCTGGATATTTGAGAGGCCAACCGACGAGTGGACCAACGACACAAACAAATCGTGGAAATTCTTTCAATCCTCCGGTTTTCCATCGAAGACGGGTAGTTTTACGTCGGTCAAATGCACCTGCGAAGCCGATGCACCACCATCGGTTGCTATTGGTCCCAAGCAAATCGATTAACGTATCCCATTCTAGTCGGAATTCTAGTACTACACTGTGTTTGTTTTGATTCGCTGTGAAAGTTTGACAGATAAAATGAGGGGTTCGTGGATTTTCCAATGTTTCAAGGGGTGCATCAATTAGCTTGGGACTGAAGAGAGTACCAGAGCTGAGCCAAAAAGTTGAGCACTTTTCTTCGGGACCTTCTGGTCTTACCTCTATGCCAATAGGTTTGTCAAGTAGTGAGCCAATTTAAAATCGTTAGTTTCCACCGGTTGATACAAGCTAATCGCGCACTATTACACAAGTTTTGCACTTTCGAGGACGGTTCAGTTTTATTTACATTAAACTAGAGCTCTTATGTAAAGATTTATTGCTGGCCTTGAGAAAGGTCGTTTGTTTTCACTACATTTTTATGATAAATTACAACTGTTTGCAATGTTCAAATTCTTCTGATATCGACGGATCACAGTTGCTCCAATGAGCTGGATATTCTACGGAATTTTTGATCCGTGTTTGGCAATGATAACCCATGGACCATGGCGGCGGATCTCACGACGGTAAGTGCAGCTTTTCCATTTCCCTGGACCAATTTGCGTCTGCGTCTGGTTGTTTTTCATTGATGTGAGGTGTATGTATTGAGCTGCTAGGAATGCTACGATGTCCACGCTGCAGCGACGAGTCCGAAATCGAACCATCGAACGTGCAACGTTGAATGATTGTGCGGCTTCGGCTTGTGTCGTTAGGGATCAACTTTCTGATGGCTGTGTTAGGGGTGAGCACCTTGCGGTCGAAGAAAATGTATGGATAATTTGAATATTTCCATATTTCTTCATTGTTAACAACTTAAATATTTAACAATTATTATGTGTGACATGCCACACAAATCTTACAACACTGGTGAATCAATCGACGAACAAATCATCAAAATCCATTGATTATTGGCCAAGTTATTAGCATTCAAAGTCTGACCAATTTTCGTTGCATTTCCCTGAATTGGCGCCCTTCCCGAAAGACGTAGTTCTACGTCCCTTAAATAGATTTTTTTGAAATATAAAGTGTTAGGATCAACACCCATCATGTTAACGGAGTTCTTTTTTTAATTTGAGCTTCTCGTAACCTTATGACCATCAGAAAACCATGCTTCTGGTTGCCTTATTTGCTTATTTTGTTTTGATTATTTTGTATTCCTCCATTCCTTGATCTGAATGGCGTTTGAGCCATATTAAGATATTTAGTTAATACGGGGCCCATGTGTTGACCACTCGTCTTTCAACGCTTGGGAAAATGCAATTCTTAAAGGCGTATATGAGCTACCATTCACTAAGTCACGCTTATGAAAGTCATATGTGTTGTTCATAAGTCGAGCCTTATGAAATTCTTCAGTCTATTTGCCTCAGTGTAGGAATAGGAATTTGAGCGGGGTTCTCTCTGTTTATATACTTTAGTATGACGCGCTTGACATAGATGGCCCACAGCGACTCACGAAGAGCTACTGATTCCGATCAATAGCGGTGCGACTTCTTTATCCTTATATGGATGCTCATGTGGGCTGCAGCTCGCTACTTGCAGGCAACCTTTCGTTGTGTACTGGAGAACACCACCACTCACCACGTGGTGATTGAATAAACACCGTTTATTCAGCAGGCAATCGGTGATAATTTTAACTATCATAGCAAAAGTTGCACATGGCAAATATGATTTTATTATCGCTAACAGAATGCAAATAGTTTTAAATTAAATCGTGGTGTGATAGGGAAGCCCAGACAACCAGTAGTCGTATAACAATGTGCAGACAGTATCGTAAATTGCTACAGTTTAAGTCAAAATCGCATATAAGAATGACATACATCGCATTATGTTTAATTTAAATCGTATAGAATGCAAATTTCCGACCTATATGCGATGATTCATTTTTCCGTAGTACTGGATCACAAATCAAATTGGGTTACATCGTAAAACTTTTCAAAGTGAATTTGTTATTACAGATTAAATCGCATATGATGTTAAATCAACTCGTTTAAAATTAAATTTAAATTTGCACGTATATGGCCTCCACTTTTGCACGTATAAGCCATTTCTTTGCATTCTATACGATTTGTCGGTTTGTATATATGTTTGTATATCACGAAAACAACTTTGAATATACGTGCATTCTGGTTGTCTGGGAGGATTAAACATAAATCCTTCTAAAACTACTATCGTGCCATTTACGCGAAGGAAGAAATTTTCATTAGACAACATAAGATTGAAAGGCACACTTTTGGAACTTACTAATGCTGTCAAATAGCTTGGAGTAATCCTTGATAGTCAGATAGACTTCTTAATTTATTTACCTTTTAATATGTACCATTGGATTTAACAAAGAGTCACACATTGTTTCTATTTAGATTTTTTGTTCAAAATTCAAAATAAACTACTTTTCGTTTTAACCCAGGTGCTCAAGTAACCTAGTAACTTATCTGCTGTAACAATACGTGCAAATCAATCAGTAGAAACACCAGAGAAATACTATCGAAGAGCAGTTTTCATTCCATGACTCGATGGATTGATCCAAAACATGATGGGACGTTTCACAAAAAATGATGACATCCTTCGCTGCCGTTCTACGCATATCCGTCCCATGTTCTAAAAGTAACATCTGAGAAAATCGCGAATAATGTTTCGAATCATTTCTGCTTATTGGAAGAAATATAAGTTAAAATAAGTTTGTGTGTTGTTCACATTTCATCAGAATCAATTTGTTTTAGTGAAAACTACAGAAATTACCTTCAATGAAATTAGTTAAACCTATTTTTATACGAAAACAATTCAGTGGGACTGTTACGCCGAGAAATTTGCTATGAAGTAGAAAATTCTGCGCATATCAGTCCCGCTAAGAACTTTTAGTTTCCATGTTGCTTTGATGGCCACGTTGTGTTTGACGTCTTTACTCTTGTGGTTGTGTTTACATGAGCGTGCTTGAGTTCTCTGCGAAGCTTTGAAAGTGGATAGTTTACATAGGTTTGCATCATTAACTGAAACCAACAATAAGTGCGTTGATATTGCTGCAATCGTCGTTTGCTACATCTATAAAGCTTAAGTATGGGCATCTTGAGAAACAAATGATGAATGCTCTGTGTAGAACACAATAAGATTGTCGATCGTGGACTTCGATGATTTCAAGAAAGTTTTTGGAATAGTTAACATACATATTAAGGATTCCATTATATTCATCCAAAAGCATCCACGGAAGTATATTGAGAACATTCTAACGACTAAATTTACGAAAGGACGATACGACAACGGATATTCTGAATCAGTCAACAGGAACATTATTTTAACTACAAAATATGGTAGCAGCTATCAATTTGATGAATGAACACATCAAGAGACAGAAATGCCATCATTGTTAACTGCGTAGTTCCTTGTTGTTTTTGTACAATAATACGTACTTTGTTAATCATGCCAATATTGGAAGATGTTTATATATCGTTGCTACATAAAATTGCATTTCAAATCATGTTATTTTGTCTTTGGTTTATTTCAAGATCATTACACTGCTTCTTATCAATTGAATATTATTACTCTAATAATGTACAGTTTGAAAACTGAACAATAATCTGGTGTTTTAATATGAATTCCCGTTTCTCTAAATATTTTTCATCATAAAATAAAGCTTCTACTTGAAATGACTCATTGAGTTACTTTTGATCACATAAATCCTGTTTCGATCATTCGTGCACTCAAATCGATTCGTCAATAAAAGATTCAGTAAAAAAATATTTGTGGGACAGTTATGCGTAGAATTTCAACATGGGACAGTTAGACTTGATGTTGTTTTTGAATAAGCCCAAAACAAATAACATGTTTTTCTATTTTCATTCGAAAGTTTACCTAAAAAACTACTATTTTATGAACAAAATTGAAAAACGTCCAAAAGTAACATGGGACAGATATGCGTAGAACGGCAGTTCCGGTGTTCCAAATATTGTTGCC